AAATCTATATTGTGTAGGGGCCTGGAAAGATGCTCACGATACTTAGAGTGAAAAGAATAAAAGCAGGTTACAGACCAACAGATAAAATAAGATTCCACTTCTGGAAAAAATGGAGTACTTGTGTATACATATGTATGTATGTGTATATTCATTTATTTATTCAACAAATATGTATTGGCTCTGTTCCCAGGGTCCCAGCAGTTGCTCCGTTCTGGCAGAGGATAATAAACAATCAAGTGGATAAAAATGTTCAGGAAGTACTGAATGCTAACAAGAAAACAGAATGGAAAGTAATATAATAGGGTGAGACAGGGTCAATAACAAATGTCTGTTCACACACACACACACACACACACACGCCTGCATGTCTGTGCATGCACATGGGAAGGAAACCTACCCAAAGAGACGAAAATGGGATGAACAGAAAGGAAATGTTCATTTTTTTGTAATACTTTTTTAAAATAGCAAAATCAATGGGCAAATTTTTCTTTTTTGTACTTGTTTTTCAAACAAAAAATGACTGGTTGCTTTCTATGACTAGATTTGAGAAAATCAATTTACCTCAGAAATAGGTTTTCTTTCTTTCTTTCTTTCAGAAAATATCCAGATAAGACCCTTTAGTTTCAAGGAGATAAACAAGTCTCCATCCCAGGAGAAAACAGTGAAGTCACCAAATATTAGAAAGCAGAATGAGATTAAATATTCCATGTTCTGTTTAGTAACATAAACTGGGTACAGATATAATAGGACCATGCCCTTTAGAGCTAGAAGATCTGTTTTTCTACCTAAATAGGATTAGACTACAATGCTGCCAAATATTAGGTGGTTCTTGGAAGACCTATTAATTCTACTTCCACCTCCATCTCTGCCTTTGCTCTCAAAAGACTGAGTCCAAAATTTGTTTGTGGACTCATGTGTGGGGATAAATGGATCCATCTCCCTTTGCTCCAGGCTGGAGGCATTGAACACTGCACAGAGGAATGGAGCTTGGCCTGGAACCATCCAAGCCGCCCTATGGTTTCTCTGGGGCCTTGGCCAAGCCCTTAGCTAAGCACTGAGTCAGGGGGTAACCATGAGGGAGGAACTGGAGTGCCATGGGGCAGAGAAGTGTCCCCCTGAGAAAATATGCACCGCTCAGTCCTGGGGGACTGGAGAGGTGGGAGATTTGGGAGGCTTCCTTCTCAGTCTGAGGCAGAGAGGTTGGAGGTCTGTTGAGATGAGGAGAAACGAGCTTCTCTTGGGGCCAGGGAAGGGATTCTGAGCTGGATCCAGCTGTGAGGAAGCCTCCAGGGCTTGCAAGGTCCCTGATGCTGGGTTTGGTCTGCAGTTAAAAGTAGACAGTTCAGTTTTGGTGGAGTGGTAGGGCTGAAGCAGGTGGGCACTAGGTCTCAGAGAGTGTGGGAGATGAGGAAGTGTGACGACAAAGCTTGGACGAGGAGACAGGGCAGGAACTAGGCTGAGCCCAGGTCCCACACAGGAGTCAAGTGGGTTTAGGGCCAGAAGGTGGTGAGCACCAAAGAGAGGGAGATGGAATATACAGATCAAGGGCTAATTGATGGGACGGGGGCAAGCAGTGTAGGGGCAGACTCAAGAGCCCATGTGGCAGAGAGGAAGGGCACTTCACCCTCTGGGCTCTGCCCAGGAGGAAGGGCTTAGAGGTTACAGTGGAGGTGGAAAACAGAACACTGACGGTGCTGATGCAGGAGACTCTACCTTCCCCATGAAGTGTCTGCAGACAGTGGGGAGGGCAGAGAATGGAAGGAGCGTGTGAGGGGCTGGGCCAGGACAAGAAAACCAGGCTGCGGAGTGGCTCTGAGGGTCCTCCGAAAGCCCAGGGCTGTGAAAGGGGACCCAATTCTGGTGACAGGTGACTTTGTCCGGCAGGGATGGACTTGGGGCTGATCTAAGGTGGAGGGTTTGCTGTTGCCCCTGTTGTGGACTAGGAGTGCAGCAGAGGAGCTGAGGGTACCAGGAGGGAAGCAGGCATAGCTGATGCTCTAGGCGGGGTAGGGAACAGGCTGACTGACCAGGAGAGCAGGACGGGATCAGGACCTGGTGGCCTGTAAGGCCTTTAGTTAAGCTGGAACAGGGAAGGGTTATAGCCAGAGAAGAGAAAATCTGAACCTAGTTTGCTGATTTGGGGTTAGAGGGGGGGTGCCAAAGCTGACAGTCACAAGGTCCTCGGGAATCCTGGGAAATGCTTGTCAGTAAACTACAGAAGGCAAAGCTTTTCTAAACTTTTAGCTTATCACGAATCTGTACAAATACAGAAAATAATCAACTGTACTAGTACGTTACTGACAATTCCTAGACAGAGAATCACCTGTGAGATGGAGCAGCCCAAGTAACAACTAAATAATGCTACAGAATAAAGTACAGAGAAGAGAGGTTAGGTAAACTCAGTCATTGCCCAGCACCAAGTAAAAAGCTATGCTCTTCTAGGGATGCCTACAAGGGGTATGGGGGAGCCGGTCAGCACCCCAGAGGACACCCAGATCCCTCCCTTCCGAGCACCCACCTTAAGCAGCTCCAGGGCCACGAGCACCTCCTCGGCAGGAACCTTATTATCCCCCAGCACGTTGGAAAGAGTCCACTTGAGGGGCTTCAGCAGGAAGACGCCGACCCCCCAGGAGATCCAGCTGCTGTCGACACTTGCCATGAAGTCTGACTCCCGCTGCAGCTCCCCGCGCCTGCAGAGAGGAAAGGGCATACAGTAGGTGCAGCGCAGTGTCCCACTCCAGACCCCACATCCCCTGGCACCAAATGAGGAATCCGATCATGACCACCAACACCAGTTACTAGGCAGCTTCTCTGTGCAGCTCTGATGCGCAGCTGCTATGTTTATGCTCCAGCTCTCAGCCTCACAACTCACTTTAGCCAATGAGAAGACAGAGGCTGAGAAGGTAGAGAGGCCAAATCTAGACTCTAATTTGGCTCCAAAACAGAAGCTCTCCACTAAGACTGCAGAGGCACAGGGGCTGCAGGGCCTATGATGCGACTTACAAATGGAACTCAAACACGATAAAAATGAAAGTGAAATGCAAGTCGTAAGAATACAGAGACTTCAGAGAAAGGGTTTTCTGCTGTCCCCAGGGTAGGGTGCAGAGAAAACAAGTATTTCATAATCCTGGTAGTAGTAGCTACATTTACTGATGCAACTTGCCATGGGCTAGTCACTATGCAAAGGGCTCTGCAAGGAATATCTCTTTAAATCCTCACAATAAACCTAGGTACAATAATCAGCACCACTTTCTAATTGGTCAAACGAAGCCTTAAAGAGGTACACACTGGTCCGAGGTCAGAGAATGTACCCATTGTCACATAATTTAACAGGTGGCAGAACTAGGATTTGAGCCCAGGCCATTTGACCCTCATGCAAAGCTGTGAAACTGCTATGCTATGCTGCTTCTGGAGCATATCTTCCTCTGAAATTCTTCAGGTTCCAGATGCTGTCACACCAGGAAGTGCCAGCAGTCAGGAAAGGTGAAACTCAGGTTTTACAAGACTCTGCATCGGAAGTGGTAGGGGATGGTCCAGCTGCAATACGGAAGCCTAGACTGATCCCGTCCCTTAGCTACCGGCTCCCCTGCATCCCACTTCAGGCATGAACTAAAACTCTGTCCACTTGCTCAGAAAAGAGCAGCTTCAGAAACAGCTTGTTCCATCCATGTCAGCCAATGGGCAGGTGCTGGGCAGAAGGGAGACTTCCGAATCAGGAAGAACAGCAAGCTAAAAGCCTTGTAAAGTTGACGGACTTTCTCCTTCATTCACTGAGGGAGGCAGGCGGGAGGCTGGCTGGGCTGCTCTCAGTATGAAACATGCAATGTGAAGTGCAAATGATCAGAAGACGAGGGTCCATTCCCGGCATTGTCTCTGAGTAGCTGAGTAACCCCAAGTCGCTTGGTCTGAGGCTGTTTTTTCTGACTGCTGAGGGAGGGCAGTTCTATGATCTTGTCCTCAGGACTGCTGAGTTCAGATGAAATGGTGTAAGCAAGGTTATCTACACACTGTGGAAGTGCTCTTCATCTATCAGATATCCATGTTATTGCCTCAGGTATCCCAAAACACTGTACCTGTCGCACAGGCAGCACCTGCAGGACCTCCTCAGAGCACCGAGATACTCAGCAAGGCCCTCACCATCCGGCATGGTCTCTGCTCCAAACAGCCTGCGCCAAGGACGAGCCACGATAGGCCAGACACGGGGCTGTTGGCAAGATCCCTACAACAACTTGGCCTCTTCCCCAGCACTGCCCTCTCCTTACCTCTGACCTCGCCTTAATTCAATAAATCTCACTGACCTGTTCTGGGGGTAACTGCACGTGGGAGGCCCTAGGAAATAACTCCAGAGCGGGGTTCCCGTCCAGGCAGATCACCGTCACCTCTGCCAGGCTGGCTCCTCCTCTTACCGTCTGGATCGCCCCTAATCGGACCATCCCCATTCCTCGTCTTCCCTCTCCCTGCGGACGCCCCTACCCCCCCGACCTCCTGGTCCTCCTCTTCCTTCGCCTAGGAACCTAACGGAGGCTGCTCAGAGGCAGACCCCCGCCTCCCCCACCCCCCAGGCCCTCGCGGAGCCGCCCCCACCCCGGGCCCGGCCCGCCCTCACCGCAGCAGGTCCTGCAGCACCGTGGCCAGCCCCAGCGGGACGCTCCCCTTGCGCTGGAAGGCCTCCTGCAAGTCCCGCAGCCGCAGGCGCACCACCCCCTGGCGGCGGCTGTGGCTCAGCACCAACGGCGCCCAGAAGCCCATCTTGCTGTCCCAGTCGGTACTGTTCACCTCGCGGCTCCTCTTGAAGGCGGAGAACAGGAAGGACATGCGCTCCTCATCCTCCTCCCACTCGGGGGGCAGTAGGCCCGCGGGGTCTCCCCCGGCCGGGACTTGGGCCTCCCGCTCCGGGGACCACATCGGAACCCCAGCCCCGCCGAGACTCCGAACACAAGCCTGGCCCGGCTCCCCTTTCGCCCTAGGTCCCTCCCGGCTTCCGTTGTTTGACCGCCGCCTCCTCTGTCATTACGTCACCGCCTCCCCGGCGTGAAATAAGGCGCGCGCGACTTCGTGGCGCATGCGCGGCCCTGCCCCCTCGGCGCGCAGAAGCGAAAGGATGACCCTCTGTGCGTGGCCCGCCCACCTCGCCGTCTTTGTGCCGAAGAAAAGCTTCACGCATGCGCAGCAGCGTGCAGGTGCGTCTGGCGCCCCCTCAGGGTTTGTGGTTTGTGGAAGCGTTTTATAGAGAAAGTGATAATGCCTCCCATTTGTGGTTTCAAGTAGTGGAACTGCAGTCCCGCTAAGGGGCGCTAGAGGCGCTCGGATGGCTCTGGCGGATCACCAGCTACCGCTTCTCGACCCACCTTCAGATATTTAAACTTCCAACTTACTTCCTTTCCCCTAATGTCAGCGGGTAAGTGGGTCGCCCACACTCCGTGACAGTGCATACACTGATTTGAGAGGTTTATTAGCTTCTGCTACTCTCACTTCTGGCGATGTAAGAAACGTCCAAACATTAGAGAATTTTTCCGAGTTTATTTGAGCCAAACTGTTAATTGCCTGGAAGCAAAATCCTAAGGGAATGAGAACATGCTTCAGGGAATGTCAGTTTTGCAATTTATTGTTGTATACATTGGTGTTACAGAGTTCCCGAACAATCAAACAATACAGGAGGAGAGTTTGGAGAGACTCACTTTATTCATCGCACGATGGGCTTAGAGAAAATGAATTCAAATTCTAAGCAAGGCTACAAGCAGAACTTCCCTTTTTATTAAACAGCCAGCCCTATGTGCACTTAGTGGTTATCTCGATGCTGGCCTTGAAAACAATACAATTCTATCCAATTAAAAATGCACCTGGCATGGCTGGCATTGAGATTATGGGCATATCTAGTCTCTGGCCTACAAGGTCATACAGCTAAGTTTATCTTCAGCATCATTCAAACAGGCTACAGCAGACTAGAAAGCAAACATTTTATCTAAGAAAAACAGCAGAAAATTCCAAACAGCAGTTTTTTACAAAATAGGGTTTTTCCTTCTCATTAGAATCAAAGGAGGAGGCACAAGGAGGGTTACATGGTGGTAGGTTAGGGAGGTGGGAGAAAGCAAAGCAGGGAAATCTCAGAGTGGATAAAATGAAGAGACATCGGTGGATACAGGATAGTTAATTGATATTTACAGCACATACAGATGGTATGTGGGCAACAAGATAATGATGAGGGGCTTCGCGGTCTCATGATGTGGGGGGAGATTGCGCCCCCAGAGGCCTGGGAAAGAGGGATTGCTCTGACATTCCAAAGGTTTGTTAAGGTACATGCAAAAAATAAGATAGGCCAGTTAGGATAAAGATTGACCTTTGTTAAGGAAGATGCCTGCCTAGGGTATAACTACCCATTGTGACTCGCTTTTAGTTAAGAAGTTTTCATTTCAGACAGTTCCATATGGTTACTTTCGGTCTCTGAGTTTGTAAGGCTGCCATGCAGGCCTCCCTGAGTTTGTCGGGTTTTAGTTAGTATTGCCCACACTCGCTACTGCATATGCTGAGGTGTTCCTGCTTCCTTCTCAGTATGGATATTCTGATCCCTTAGGATGGAGCTCAATTCTGATCTTCCCTGAAACCTTCTCAAACAGTCCTGACTCATTGTTGATCTTTTTTCTGGACTGCACAGTTTAGGATTTACTATTCTGTGTCCTGTTGACCTCGTTCCCTGAGGAAAGGTGCAATGACATATATCTTGCTATGACATATGCTGAAGAAGTATGTCATAAGCCAAAAATTGCATAACCTGAACCTCGCCCTTCTAATATCTTAGAACTGTGTTAGAATGAGAGCTCATATGTATAAGATTCTCACAAACAACTTATCTAGTGTGTTAAGAATGAATTTATTTTCTTTTTCATTGAACTATTGTATTTAAAAGGTGAAAGGGGTTTGTTTAATGGAATCATGTAACAACCACCAGAGCTGAATATGAATCTGGCCCCTGCCACTCACTGGCTGTGCGACCCTGGAGATAAAACAAATAAATAAATCAGAAGGTAGAGGAATATGTTAAATGAAACCTGAGATTGCAATCAGCAAATCCAGACTGTAGAATTCTACTAGATAATGACTTTTCCTCAACAAATAATGGCAAAAAAAGAGACTTTAATGTGCAATGTTATTGCATGTGATTTGGATCTAACTTGCACAAACAATAAAAAATTGTCTATGATAATTAGATACTTTCAATATTAGCTAGATATTAGTGAATTATGTTGAACACAGTGATATGGTGGTTATGTTTTGTAGATACATCAAAAGTATTTTTGAGGAAAACTGTATGATATTTGGGGGAGGAAGTTGGGTGGGAGACCATAGAGAAATATCAAATGAGTTAAATTTCATACTCATTTTATTAATTTCTTTTAAAAAGAAACTCAGCACTCAGCACTTAGATATCATTCAGTTGTTTTAATTAATAATAATTAAATTATTTATTATTAATTAATAAATAAATTACCTTGCCCAGCCAGTGTGGCTCAGTGGTTGAGCATTGACTCATGAACTAGGAGGTCACAGTTAAATTCCTAGTCAGGTCACAAGCCCAAGTTTCAGGCTCAATCCCCAATAGGGGTCATATAGGAGGGAGCCAATTGATGATTCTCTCTCATCATCAATGTTTCTGTCTCTATCTCCCTCTCTCTGAAATCAATAAAAACATATATGCTTTTTAAAAGAAATTACCTAGACCCACATTCTGGTTTTTATCTCTCTTAATAAATAACTGCATGACCTCAGAAAGGCCAATTTCCTCTCAGAGGCCTCCTCTGTGAATTAAAGGTTTCTGCACTATGATCTTGAGGTTTTTTTCCTAGTACCCACTCTCTAATTCCAAATTTAAGGTCTACTGTAGATGTGTGAGTGACTGCAGGAGCTCTGGAGAGGTCGAAGAACAAAATGTCACCTAACCATCACCGTATCGTGACAGTGATATTTATTTGCTGATGCCCCAATGTGTTTTTGGTCAGACACCTGAGCAGCCTCACTCCAGCCATAATGAACAAACTTGTCTGAGGGTTTAAACACTGCAGCACTTGTGTAATGCTGCAAGATACTCCGTGTCCTCTCTCCTGCTTGTTGGGCACGCCTCATCATTTTTACAGAAATATGCATGCCCTGTTATATTATCCAGTTATTTCTAGTTCTTATCTCTAAGAGTTACAGCCTTAGAACTTGGCTAAAAGAGGAATGAGACAAAAAATACATTGTACATAATCTATGAGATATAGAGGAGAAGAAGCTGGGCTTGTAAGTATTCAGGCACCACTATGTTCTGGAAGCCTTCTCCAGGCGGGAGTTGATGTCCTTCCTTATCTCCACTAATAAAAGAGTAACATGCTAATTGACCATACATTCGTGACACCCACCAGCCAATCAGGAATGAGTATGCAAATTAACCCAACAAAGATGGTAGGTTAATTTGCATATGCAGGCACTGAGTGACCCGGGGTGGGGCTGGACGCAGGTGTTCCACACCACCCCAGCTGGGGACCTCTGGGCAGCATGGCAAAGAGGAATGGTGGCTCTGGCCAGAGCATAGGCAGTACCAGTCAGGGGAAGGAAGGCCCATTATTGCACAAATCTTCATGCATCGGGCCTCTAGTCTTTCTATAACCTTGTATATCTCTCTGTCATTTTATGTGACATATTATTTGCTGTTTCCATTTAGGAGCCTGTCTTTATGACTAAGAGACTTGTTGGCAGAAATAGTGTTCTTAATTTTGTGTCTAGCACAGTGCCTGGTACATCCTAAGGATTCCATTTGTTGAATGAATGAATGAGTTTAATTAATCAAACTATGAGTAAAGAAGTAATTCCATCAAGGCCTATCCTTTATCCTAAGAACACTTATCTAGATATAATTTACTAAAAAAAATAGTTTAAACTTTTACTTACTTGAATGATTTATTTGAAGTTAGCTGTTTTATGATGAAATGCCTCTAAATTTAATTGCCTACTTAGTGGTTAGAGCAATCCCAGATGTGGGAAATTCCCTTGCTTATTTTGCCAAAACATTTAAACCACAGGAAGCTGTTGCTGTCTATCCATTCACGACCACAATCTTTTAGAAATACCCGATCAGTGACCATTTGTGAAATTGTCCAATATCACCCCAAAGAATTTACCCTTCTTTAATTTTACCATCTTCTCTTCCACTCTTCATTTTTTGCTCTTTATTTTCAATCCAACATGTGAGAACCTTGGAAGTTGTCACTCTGTCCTAACCGGTAAAAAGTTGAACAAACTGAAAATCAGTAACTCGGGCAGCTGGGTGAGGCGTGTCATGAGCATCTGTATTGCCCAGGCAGTGGACACGTGGATGACTTGGCACGGCGCTCCGACTGTTGCTGTGTCAGTGTGTTATGATGCCATCTCGTACCAACCTGGATGCTGGAATCCCCAATAGTAAAGTGAAATACTCAAGACTCTTCAGCACAGATGATGGCTACATTGACCTTCAGTTTAAGAAAAGCCCTCCTGCCAAAACCGGTTTGGCTCAGTGGATAGAGCGTCAGTCTGCGAACTGAAAAGTCCCGGGTTCGATTCCGGTCAAGGGCATGTACAATACATTGGTTGTGGGCACATCCCCAGTGGGGGGTGTGCAGGAGGCAGCTGGTCGATGATTCTCTCTCATCAATGTTTCTAGCTATCTATCCCTCTCCCTTCCTCTCTGTGAAAAATCAATAAAATATATATTAAAAAAAAAAAAAAAGCCCTCCTAAGATTCCATAAAAGGCCATTGCACTTGCTACACTACTATTTTTGATTGGCACCTTTCTCATCATCATAGGCTCCCTCCTGCTGGCAGGCTATATCAGCAAAGGGGGGCAGATCCGCCGTTCTTGTTCTGATCATTGGCATCCTGGTGTTCCTGCCAGGGTTTTACTGCCTGCGCAGCATCACTTACTGTGCATCCAAAGACTCCTACGATGACATTCCTGACTTTGATGACTAGCACCTACCTTAGCTCCGATGGGCAGAGTCAGATGGGACTGAGCTTAGCTTTAAGATACTGAGCAGAAACTATAGCTTAGGGCTAAGGAGTTCTGCTGGTTGCAGATGCTTAACAAAACAATGGCCATGTTTTATGGGTCCATCCTGAGAGCTTACAATTAGCTAATTAGGGCGTGCTTTACATTTCATCTCCTGGCCCTGACAAAAAGCTGACAAGTTTTTCCAGATGAACCTGTATCATGGAAGAATAGCAATGTTAATTGGAGAAAGTGGGAGGTTATTCTGAAGTGGGAAATGTTGAGCATTTCTTTTAAATTGTCTTTATTATAGTAAGCAAAGGCCCTGGCAGGCAGCCAGCAGCCAGCAAAGGGAGGCCCTGGTGGGCAGCCAGAAGACCCCGATTGGTCCTGATCACCGGCCAAGCCTAGGGACCCTATCCATGCATGAATTTTGTGCACTGGGCCTCTAAAACTATCTAATAAAGAGGGAACATGCTAATTGACCCTCATGCCATCACAAAGACAGCTGTGCCCACAGCCAATAAGAAGGGAAAGATGGCGGCACTCACAACCAATAAGGAGGGGATGTGCTAATTGCCCCGCCTCAAAGATGGCAGCACACACAGCCAATAAGAAGGGAATATGCTAATTGATTGCCACACCCTCAAAGATGGTAGCACCCACAGCCACAAGATGGTGGTGCCTAGTCCCCTCAGCCCCCCAGCCACCTAGGGCCAGCCTGAGGCACAGGCAAGCCTAGATTGCAGCTGCCCAGCCACCCAGGGTCACCCAAGGCTCAGGTAACCAGGGCTAGCTGAGGCTTGTGCTGCCGGCAGTGGCAGCAGCAGAGATGTGATGGGGCATTGCCTTCTGATCACTAGGTCACCTCTTGTCCTTGAGGGCTCCTAGACTGTGAGGGTGCAGGCTGAGCTGAGGGGACCCCCTCTCCAGTGCATGAATTTTCATGTTCCAGGCCTCTATATATATAAAAGCCTAGACGACCATTGCAACGGAATGGACAACTGAACAGGCTGTGTGGGGCCACCAGCCCAGCAGGGGTGTTAGTGGGGGTCAACCAAACAACCAAGCAGGAAAGTTAGTGAGGGGTGACCAAGGACCAAACAGCAGGCTGTATGGGGCAACCAAGCCTGCGGTGGTGGGGGTGGGGAGGAACAGTTGGGGGTGACCAGGCTGACAGGCGGGGCAGTGAGGAGCAATCGGGTTGACAGAGGTGGACAATGAAGTGTGACCAGGATGGCTGGAGGGGGGCAGTTGGGGGCAACCAGGTCATCAGGGGGGTCAGTTAGGGGTGCCCAGGCCGGCATGGGGGAGCAGTTGGGGATGACCAGGTCAGCAGGGGGAGGGAAGTTAGGGGCGACCAGGCCAGTGGGGGGGGGGGAGCAGTTGGGGGTGACCAGGCCAGTGGGGGGGGGGGGGGACAGTTAGGAGAAATCAGGCAGGCAGGCAGGCAGGTGAGTAGTTAGGAGCCAGTGGTCCCGGATTGTGAGAGGGATATTCAACTGCCAGTTTAGGCCCAACCAGCAGTTGAACATTCCCTTAGGGGTCCTGGATTGGAGAGAGTGCAGGCTGAGCTGAGGGGACCTTCCATGCATGAATTTTGTGCACCAGGCCTTTAGTTTATATGATAAAAGCCTTAGCAACTGTTATGGTGGAACGACCAGAAAGATGGGTTGCTATGATGCACACTAACCACCAGGGGCAGACGCTCAACACAGGAGCTCCCACAGGCGGAGCACTGCTCAGCCAGAAGCTGGGCTCACAGTTGGCAAGCACAGCGAAGGTGGCAGGGGCCTCTCTTACCTCCACAGCAGTGCTAATGAGCAGCGAGCCAAGCAGTAAGGAGCAGCAAGTAGGTAGGTGGTAAATAGCAAGGGGTCCCAGACTGAGAGAGGGATATTGACTGCCACCTTAGGCCCGATCCCCACAGGGAGCGTGCCTAAGCCAGCAGGCGGACATCCCCTGGGGGGTCCTGGACTATGAGAGGGCGCAAGCCTCACTGAGGGGACCCCTCCCCCAGTGCACAAATGTCATGCACCGGGTCTCTAGTAATTAATAACCATTTTATTGTTATTCAACTTATTGGGGTTACATTGGTTAATAAAATTAAAAAGGTTTCAGATATGAAATTCTATAGTACATCATCTATATGTTGTATTGTGTTCACCACCCCAGATAGGTTTCCTTTCATCATCATTTATATGCCCTTAGTTTCTTCTACCTCCCCCACCTCCTTTTTTCTCGAGTAATCTCCATATTGTTGTCTGCATCTATGAGGTTTTTTCCTTTAATCCCTTCACTTTTTCACCTAATTCCCCAACCCCCACCCGTCTAACAGTTGTTAGTCTGTTCTCTTTATCTATGTGTCTGTTTCCTATTTTGTTTGTTAGTTTATTTTATAATTAGATGCCACATATAAGTGAAATCATATGGTATTTGTCTTTCTCTTCCTGGCATATTTCACTTAGCATAAAACTCTCCAGATCCATCCATGTTGTCACAAAAGGTAAGATTTCCTTTGGTAAGGATGAGTGGTTTTCCACTACGCAAAAGTACCACAGTTTTTGAATTCACACATCTACTGTTGGGCTCTTGGACTGCTTCCAGATCTTGTCTATTGTAAATAAAGCTCAGATATATTCCCAGAAGTAGAATTGCTGGATCATAAGGCAGCTCCATTTTTAATTTTTTTGAGGAAACTCCATACTGTTTTCCACAATGGTTGCACCAATCGATATTCCTATAAAAAATGCACAAGGGTTCCCTTTTCTCCACATCCTTGCAAACATTTATTTCTTTATTTGTTTATTTATATAATCCTCACCCAATGATAAGCTTTTATTGATTTCAGTGAGAGATCACAGAAAGGAGAAGGAGAGAGACAGAGAATTATCTAAGTGAGAGTAAAACATAGATAGGCTGCCTTCCATATACACTACATATTGGCATTTGAACCCACAACATGCGCATTACCCTGGCCTGGACTTTAACCCACAATCCTGTGTTGCACAGGAGGACACTCCAACCAGCTGAGCAACACCAGGAGTGAGGTTATATCTCACTCTGGTTTTAATTTGCATTTCTCTGGTAATTAGTGACTCTGAGAATCTTTGCATATATATGTTGGCCATCTGTATAGCTTCTTTAAAGAACTGCCAATTCAGGTCCTCTGCCCAGTTTTTAAATTAAATTATTTACTTTTTGGTGTATCATTGATGAATATGTTCTCTTGCTCAGTGGGTTGTCCTTTCATTTTGTTGATGGTTTCCTTTGTTGTGCAAAAACTGTTTAGTTTGATGTAGTCCCATTAATATATATATATTTTCTTATTTTTCCCTTGCCCAAGGAAATATATTAGAACAAATATTGTTATGAGAAATGTCCACCAAGGAAAACAATGGTGGCCAAATAGACAAACCTTTCTTGCACCTCTTCCCAGGTCCAGACTGGAAATAAAACTAAA